ACAGTCCTTAAACACAACACAGCCTGAAACACAAATTAACCACAGTCTTTAAACACAACAAAGTCTGATGTCATGGAAAGGACTCCAACCTTTGGCAGGATGTCTCTGGATGTTGAAAAGAACAAGGTGTGAATGATGAGTTCCTCGGCTGCTGCTGTGTAATTTCCCTGGAATGAAACCGGCGGATCAGCTGTGTTTGTTTGTTTGATTGTTTGTTTTTGTTAATATTTAAACGTGTAAATGTAACACCTTGAGTTCTGACATTGCCCCCACATAAACAACTAGGACACCATGACGTTTCATGTTGTGTTGAAAAAGCTGTGTGCTGCTCAGGGTTCGAACCAGCGGCCTGGGAATGACACAAACAGTCACATGACGATGATGTGATGTGTGCAGTGGAACGGTGGAACAGTGGACTAAAGGAACTCACCCTGAGACCCGCTCAGAGAACTCCATGATTCCATCTTTGGTTCTTGATCCTGCATAGTTATACTTCACATTGTTCTTTAACCTGGAGAAACAAGACAACAACTAAAACAACCAAAGGTGAAACAAGGTAACTACTATCTATCTCAGACCACCAAAAATCTACAAACCGTATTCCAAAAAAGTTGGGACACTAAACAAATAGTGAATAAAAAGTGAATGCAATGATGTGGAGGTGCCAACATCTAATATTTTATTCAGAATAGAACACAAATCACAGATCAAAAGTTTAAACTGAGAGAATGTATCATTTTAAGGGAAAAATCTGTTGTTTCCAAATTTCATGGCATCAACAAATCCCAAAAAAGTTGGGACAAGTCCATTTTTCCCACTGTGTGGCATCCCCCCTTCTTCTTACAACACTCAACAGACGTCTGGGGACAGAGGAGACCAGTTTCTCAAGTTTAGAAATAGGAATGCTCTCCCATTCATGTCTAATACAGGCCTCTAAATGTTCAATCGTCTTGGGCCTTCTTTGTGGCACCTTCCTCTTTATGATGCACCAAATGTTCTCTATAGGTGAAAGATCTGGACTGCAGGCTGGCCATTTCAGTACCCGGATCCTTCGCCTACGTAGCCATTGTCAATAAAAGTCACTTGGTGGAAATAGTCTGTTCCTCAGGAGCAGGCATGAGTCGGGCTTGTGTACTTGTCCAGGCCTGCTAAGCTGATTGAAAACAGATGCTGGGAGCACACACACACAGATGCAAGCACACACTCATATTACACAGACGCACACTCACACGCACAAATGCAGTGACACTTAGACACATATGGAAGCAGGCAGCAGGAGAGTGAAGGAGGAAGAACTAGACTTTTTCCTAATGAATTTGTCAGTTTTCAGATAAATAAGAATGAATGGATGATTTACAAACAAATCAAGTAAAAATAATCAAGTGATACTATAATCTTTGTGATTTTAAAATGTATTCTGTTTTAAGTTGTTCATGATGTTGAAAATTTAAGAAGTAAACTGTTTGATCAGAAATAATGTTCAGTTGTCGTACAAAAAGAGTTACTCAAAAAGTGTTGCGCAATGGCAAACCTTAAAAACAGCTTCAAGCAAAAAACAACTCCTTATAAGGAAAACAAGTGAGAAAAACAAGTCATGGTGACTCAGGCATGTCCGGACAGAACCGGACCGAAAAGAGTTACACCCAGATTTTAATATGTATAAGGAATGACATGGCAAATTCCCATAGACATGCATAGAACCCTGAACTAGGTCCGGCCCAAAGAAGGTTGGATTAAGCAGGTGGCATGATCTTTTTGGAAGTGTCAGTCAAGACCTCGCCCTATAAATACAGATGATTCTGTGAAACCGGGGCTGTCGGGACCACTGACTCGTGTGGATGTAACAAACAGGACTGTTTGGACCACAGACGCGTGTGTATTATAGGACAAGTTTTTGGACGGTCCCAGCTGAAGAAGAACAGGGGCATATCTAATGGATTAGGCTTCGTTTGGAGTTATTTTTCTTCCTTCAGCCTGGATTATATGCTTGAACCCTTTTCTTCAAATTCAGACCGGCTGTAGGACCAGAAACGGTCCGCATTCAAGTGTGAATTGGGAAATTTGCTTCTTGCTGAGCCGGAATTTTGAGGAATTCCACAGATAAGGCGATGGTAAGGAGACGTTTCGCCAATATTGTCCTTAATAAAAATTTATTCCAAATTATAGCGGTAGTCCACAAATTGGCAGACAGAAAGATCAATTATATCTTAAATTTGATTGCTTGGAGTTGTGAAAGGTTTGTTATTGTGGTGAGAGATAACGTATTGGGGCGGGTAGAGAGTGTGAGCAAATTGTGGAGGTTTTGGGGCGATTGAGTGAGTCAGAACGACCATAGATCTCACAGAGTGCAGCCTGCCAGAAGGAAAATATCTGGGGCTGAACGGAGCAAACCTACAACCATCCTCCAGCCTCTCCCCCTCCCCCAGCAATAGAGAACTGCTTTGCCCAGGAAGGATCAACATCTGGAATATAACTAAACTCTGAGTATTAATCATTATGTATCATCTTTGTAATCAAATGTAATCATTATTGGACTGTGCATACCGCTGTGACCCCTGCAAAATCATTGATTAAAGAAAAGCAAAACGTAAAATTCTGGATTCTTATTTCAACACCCCTGTGTTCATGGAAGTGGAAACACTTGGTTCAATGTAACAACAGATTCACGGGAGGTTTTAAAAGGTTCTGTAGCTTTGATTATAAAACAACATCCAAGAATCTTATACCTAGATTCTAAACAAAGCCAGATCGGATAACAATTGTAACGCTAAATCAGGAGATGAGCTACCGTTAACTTGCGCTTCCTCGTCTGCCAAACAACCCCACTCCTGCTGCTAGGTCGGGCGAGGTACGAGGTGAGACTTTGGGTGTGGTGTGTAGTGAACTAGGCCTGCAACAACAATCTGTCTCTGAAGACCTTCAGGGGACAGGAACTGCTATTTCATTGATTTGAATCCAGAAATACAAATTATCTCATCAAGAGACTATTTAATTGTATCCTGAATTAATCAATTGAAAGAACTCTTCTTTTTACATTATCATTACTATTTAAAATATCTTGATAATCAGAAGTGTGTTTAGTTCATACCATTTCTAAATGTTGAAGTGAACCACTCATTTAAATCAACTGTGAAACAGTATTAATGATTTTTAAACCTCATTAGATTTTTGATCATATGGTTAAATGCCTATTTACGAAGTAAGTGTGCATTTAGTCTTCTGTCTGAATGAGGAGTAGTAGTGGATGTCGGTCGAAAGTCAGAGACGAGTTATTAGAACGAAGTGTCTTGTTTTTAAAACTCTCAGATAGTAAATAAGAGCAACTGGCACCTGCTTTGTCTCACCTCGTCATATTTCTCTGTCTGTACTAACTGTTTTTAAAAAACATTCCTGCTGTCTCTTGACTTCTAGTGACCCTCTGACATCACTAGAACCACACCCCTGCTGGTTGTTTCAACCAATCAGGAAGTACCACGTAACAGGAAGTGGATACCCCTTTAAAAGGCAACACTTCTTGGAACTATTCAGTCTTCACGAGTCTTGGAGTCTTCTGAGTCCTGGAACTCAGTCTCAGTCTTGGTCTTATTCGAAGTCTTAGTCTTTTCCAGTCTTGCTGGAACTTTCAGTCAGAGATGAGACTCAACTAAGTAGCAGATGGATTTGACCATGTGCCAAAGGTCTCACCAGTCCAGGGTAGTCACAGCCAGCCTCGGCTGTGACTCAACCCGAGCAGTAAATGCTCCAATTCTAAGGAAGCTTATTCTGTGGAACCGAGTACTTCGTCACGATGTCTGATGACCCCCAGCTACTTTAACCGGAGATGCTGAAAAGGGAGCGTACTAATGGACTTCTGTTCCGGAGTGGAAGTATCCACCATCTCAGGTAACAAGTGTTGGATTTCATATTTTTATACCTTTTTTATATTTCCTATCAAGCATTCAAATGTCATGTTATACAAAGTGTGTGTGTGTCTTTCTTCCAGGGTTGCACTAAATTTATAGAAAATGTTTGCTAATTCTAACTAGTTGACCTTTAAATATAATCTCATATTAGCTAAGGATAATTTTACAAGTTCACATTTGATATTTTACAAGCAATCAAATCATGCCAGATAGCAGACTGATTAACATAAATAAAGCTTGAACACATCTCTTTAATTTAGACTTAATATAGTTTGACTAAGTAAAATCCAACCAAAGCAACTAAACTAAAACAGAAGTATAAAAAGGATCAAGTAAGAACACGCAAACACGAGTTAGATAATAATTAATAGTTATT